CTCCGTTATTTAACAGTTCCAAAGTGTTCTTCTTAAAAACGAAGTTAAATAATAATCTTTTAAACGATGGTCATGTGCAAACAGGCAAGCATTTATAGTTGCAATAACACGCAATGATGATCCTTGTAGTTTGTGCATGATGATATGCTAAAGTGTGATCTGAGCAAATATGCTGGCAAACATCTGTAATCATTCCAAGTGACTGATGAAAAGCTACAGAACAGTCTTTCTCAGACCTTTTTCTGAACTTGGATTTTCTCTCAGATCAATCTGGATGACAAACCATTAGTTTCAAAAGTGGGCAGGCCACACAAATCTCTCTGCTGTTTTTTGTTAAGACCCTGCAGTTGTAGCTTGATTCCCAATCTGGCAACCACTTCATCGCCCAGCTGCTTGGACAGCCTGGAAATCTTTACAGCATTCTTCCACCTTTGAAACAGTACCAAGCTATGGAACATGTTATCCGTCTCTGATGCAGAGAAGCTAGATCATGCATTCAGGACCTCTAGACTGGATTACTGTAAAAACTATTAGGTGGTTTTCCTGCATATTCAATAAACGGAGTTAGTCCAAAATGCAGCTGCTAGATCATATCACCACAATGTTATCATCTCTACTTTAGCTACCTGTTAAGTTTTATATCTATAATAAATAATACTTCTACATAAGCCCCTAAATGGTCTGGCTTCATTGTATTTAACTGATCTTCTATTGCACTACAATCCATCACAGTCTATAAGGTCACAAAATTCTGGACTATTGATCGTACCAAGGATATCAAAGTCCATGAAAGGAGGTAAAGCTTTCTCTCATTTGGCTCCTCAACTCTGGAATAGCCTTCCTGATGATGTTCGGGCCTCAGACACACTCCATGATGAGTTCAAGGTTTTTCTCCAATACCTCAGCACTGATTTTTTTCCCCTCTTAACACAGTCACCACTGGCTTCTTGATTGTGATGTTTGAAACATGCATTTTCTGTAAAGCAGCTTCGAAACAATATGTTGTAAAAAGCGCTATTCAAATAAATGAATTGAAATGAATGCCAGGTCCTACATCATTTAGACTAGTCATATATAGGCCTATATCACCACATACATTAATCAAAGCAATTCAGCACAGTTTCTTCCAGATGTGTATGTACTGTTCTGCACTTCATGTTTCTGCTATCGCTTTGTGTGGTGTAGTCATGAAATTAATTGATCAATCTTTATGATGAATCTTTGATGTAAACCCTGTGAACCTAGTAATTAGTAGAGCCACATTTACATTAAAGAAAAAAAACTTTTTGGCTACTAATAAGGTGCCTGTGTGTGTGTGTGTGTGAGTGAGTGAGTGAGTGAGTGTGCGCGTGAGTGTGTGTGCGTGTGAGTGTGTGTGCGTGCGAGTGTGTATGTGTGCGTGTGCGTGCGTGCGTGAGTGAGTGTATGTATGCATGTGTGTGTGTGCGTATGTCTGTGTGTGCATATATGTGCGTGAGTGTGTGTGTGTGAGAGTGTGCGTGAGTGTGTGTGTGAGCGTGTGTGTGTGCGTCTGTGTGAGAGTGAGTGCGTGTGTGAGAGTGTGTGCATGAGTGTGTGTGCGAGTGTGTGTGAGCGTGAGTGTGTGTGCGAGGGTGAGTGCGTGTGTGAGTGCGTGTGAGTGTGTGCGTGAGTGTGAGAGTGTGTGCGTGAGTGTGTGCGTGTGAGAGTGAGTGCGTGTGTGAGTGCGAGCGTGAGCGTGCGTGTGTGAGCGTGAGTGCGTGTGTGTGTGTGTGAGAGTGTGTGCGTGAGTGTGCGTGTGTGTGTGAGAGTGAGTGAGTGTGTGTGAGTGCGTGTGTGTGTGAGAGAGTGTGTGTGCGTGAGTGTGTGTGTGAGCGTGTGTGAGTGTGCGTGTGAGTGAGCGTGTGTGCTACTAATAAGGTGCCTGTGTGTGTGTGTGAGTGAGTGAGTGAGTGAGTGAGTGTGCGCGTGAGTGTGTGTGCGTGCGAGTGTGTATGTGTGCGTGTGCGTGCGTGCGTGAGTGAGTGTATGTATGCATGTGTGTGTGTGCGTATGTCTGTGTGTGCATATATGTGTGTGAGAGTGTGCGTGAGTGTGTGTGTGAGCGTGTGTGAGTGTGCGTCTGTGTGAGAGTGAGTGCGTGTGTGAGTGTGTGCATGAGTGTGTGTGCGAGTGTGTGTGAGCGTGAGTGTGTGTGCGAGGGTGAGTGCGTGTGTGAGTGCGTGTGAGTGTGTGCGTGAGTGTGAGAGTGTGTGCGTGAGTGTGTGCGTGTGAGAGTGAGTGCGTGTGTGAGTGCGAGCGTGAGCGTGCGTGTGTGAGCGTGAGTGCGTGTGTGTGAGAGTGTGTGCGTGAGTGTGCGTGTGTGTGTGAGAGTGAGTGAGTGTGTGTGAGTGCGTGTGTGTGTGAGAGAGTGTGTGAGAGTGTGTGCGTGTGTGTGAGAGTGAGTGCGTGTGTGAGTGTGTGAGAGAGTGAGTGCGTGTGTGTGTGTGTGAGAGTGTGTGCGTGAGTGTGCGTGTGTGTGTGAGAGTGAGTGAGTGTGTGTGAGTGCGTGTGTGTGTGAGAGAGTGTGTGTGCGTGAGTGTGTGTGTGAGCGTGTGTGAGTGTGCGTGTGAGTGAGCGTGTGTGTGTGTCTGAGAGTGAGTGCGTGTGTGAGCGTGAGTTTGTGTGTGTGTGTGTGTGAGAGTGAGTGCGTGTGTGAGTGTGTGAGAGAGTGAGTGCGTGTGAGTGTGTGCGTGCGTGTGTGTGAGAGTGTGTGAGAGTGTGTGAGAGTGAGTGCGTGTGTGTGAGAGTGAGTGCGTGTGTGAGTGTGTGTGTGTGTGGGTGTGTGCGTGTGTGAGCGTGAGTGTGAGAGTGTGTGTGTGTGAGAGTGAGTGCGTGTGTGAGAGAGTGAGTGCGTGTGAGTGTGAGCGTGCGTGTGTGTGAGAGAGTGCGTGCGTGAGTGTGTGTGTGAGAGTGTGTGCGTGAGTGTGTGTGTGTGTGAGAGTGAGTGCGTGTGTGAGTGTGTGTGCGTGAGTGAGCGTGAGTGCGTGTGTGTGAGAGTGTGTGTGAGAGAGTGAGCGTGTGTGTGAGAGTGAGTGTGTGTGTGTGTGTGTGTGGGTGTGGGTGTGTGTGTGTGTGAGTGTGTGTGTGTGTGTGTGAGAGTGAGTGTGTGTGTGTGTGTGAGAGTGAGTGCGTGTGTGTGTGAGAGAGTGAGTGCGTGTGAGTGTGTGCGTGCGTGTGTGTGAGAGTGTGTGCGTGAGTGTGCGTGTGTGTGAGAGTGAGTGCGTGTGTGTGAGAGTGTGTGTGTGTGTGAGAGAGAGTGTGTGTGTGAGTGTGTGTGTGCGTGCGTGTGTGTGAGAGTGTGTGTGTGTGAGAGTGAGTGCGTGTGAGTGTGAGTGCGTGCGTGCGTGTGTGTGAGAGAGTGCGTGCGTGAGTGTGTGTGTGAGAGTGTGTGCGTGAGTGAGCGTGAGTGCGTGTGTGTGAGAGTGTGTGTGTGTGAGAGTGAGAGTGAGTGTGCGTCTGTGTGCGTGTGCGTATGTCTGTGTGAGTGAGTGTGTGAGTGTGTGTCTGTCTGTCTGTCTGTCTATCTATGCTTAAAATACTTTTGGGAAATGCAGTCCAGACTGGTACAGCATTTCGTTTAAACCCTCTACATGTCAATGAATGCTTCAAATCACACCACATGTCAATAGGACTGAGGTCTACTGTTTTTTCTCATCTGTCGGCAGCATATGGACCCACTAATACCCTTCCAAGGGAGGAAGACATATAAACCGATGGATTACGGCAGGCGGAAGAGGTAAGATGTTAATTTTACAGTCACACTCAACTGCAGCCGATTTAAAACAAAAAATGCTAGGGTCATTTTAGCACAAAATATAGTGTTACAAACAGAGGTTACATAATTTTTTTTTATTTTAAAGTAGAAAGTTGCTAGATTTATGATGTTATGGCAGAAATGCATCATCTTACCACACCTGAACAAAGCAGCAGTTTCTGCTTTAGCATTTCTCTTATTAATGATTCATGAACATGTTTGTGATCAAATGCAAATGCCTACAGAATCTCAGCTAAATGTTGTTTTTTTTCCTGGATTCTGAAACATGAATTTCTATTGATCTTAGTCTATCTTTTTCCTACATCCAATGAGAGATTGCAGTAATTATAGAAGAAACTTCAGGCCATAATAAACATTTGAGAGGACTGGATACACGTGAAATCTTGTGTAAAATAAAGTGCCTCATCCCATCATTAACTGTCTCAAGGAAACATTAATAAGTCACCCGAAAATGTACCTGCTTCTAGTACCTCGTTTTATTGGTCACCTCTGTTAGCAGTGATGAAGCAGACCGCTTTGCATGAAGGCAACCTTAAATTCAAAGGACTTTATATAAAGTGAAAAATGGTAGTTCACCAATTTCCAAAATTGAAAGAAATCATAATTCATGAATAAATTTGTCCATGAAATAAAAACAAAAATGTAACCAACAAAACCATTGCTGAAACTAAATTAAACCGAAAATCTAGAGTAAATTTGAAAATAGTAATAACAAAGCAAATATACTTTGAATAATTTCTGATGATCCATCATATAAAGCTACAGTAAAAACGCCAGTTTAATGACCAAGATTTAGTGACCAGATTTTAATTGAAACATTGGTGCAACATCATTTCAATGTCACATCACAGCATGACCTGTAATGTTCACAATATTTACAAAACTGCTGTTTAGGACATCTTAAAAAATAAAATGAAACCATAAGAAATTATGGACTTTAACAAACTAAGCCTAACAGCCACATCAAAGCTATCAGAAACAAACATAATCAAGTGCACAACATACTTTACAAAGTCGACTGCTGTAAAGTACATACTGGTGAGAAAATATATACTCAGATACGTATTGAAAAAAAATCTGAAAGGTTTGTAATACCAGTCAGATACCAATCAAAAAACAGCAAGCAAAGAGAATAAAATAAAAATGTCCACACACACACACACACACACACTCTCTCTCACTCTCACACTCAACATAATCAAGTGCACAACATACTTTACAAAGTCGACTGCTGTAAAGTACATACTGGTGAGAAAATATATACTCAGATACTTATTGAAAAAAAATACTGACATCAGAAAGGTTTGTAATACCAGTCAGATACCAATCAAAAAACAGCAAGCAAAGAGAATAAAATAAAAATGTCCACACACACGCACGCACAGAGGAAATGAAAGAAAAGGACTGAAGAATTGAAATGGAAAATGTTTTGGGCAACACTGACCACATGAACACAAAATGTTTTTGACCTTGAACAGTAAGACTTTCGCAGCATTGCGCTAACAACAGAGCCGACTTCACCAGCAGAGACGCACGAGCCGATCGAGTCTGTTCACGGGCTTGAACCATTTCTCCTCTGAAACACATTACAACGATATCTGCGCCGATATAGTTCCCAGTTCCACAGAATGGAAATATTGCACTTAATTTCGTAGTGAGATTTCTGTAAAGATCGACAACAAGGAGAGAAAACTCCCAATATCTGGTATTTAATCTGCCCTGCTTTAGAGTTTCAAACGGATGCAAGCTGATGAGTGTTTCACACAGCAATGTGCTGCGAATCCCACACATACCTATAGAGTTTACACACAAAAATAATTCAAATCAGCTCTTCAAATTGAGTTAGTGTTGCTGGCAGATGTTTACTCCAGTGATTCTGAGCACAATGCTGACCTCTGACCTGTTCCTAACCCATCTATGACCCCTAAACCACTACTGCCCCTCAGTGCTAAAGCCATTTACTAACCCTTCTGATCGTATATTCATGAAAGTAGAACAGACACAAAGACAAAAACAAACTCCTCTCACCTAAGTGACATTTCCCATGAATGCCTTTTAGAACAGTATGAGATTCAACAAACCGACAGCTCATCTGTGTCTTTCCATAATGCAGAATCAAACACACCACCACATTACTACACCACGTGGAGATACACGCAGTGGTTTTTCAGTTTGTGTTCCTGTTCTCGGACTGATTCTGACTCCTGACGTTACTGAGATGAAGTGATTGGTGTTCGGCTGGTCATCTCATGAGGCTCCTGACCGTCTTCATGTAGAGTCAATCTAATTTTATTTCATTACTGATATGACTGGAGGCTTCCATCATTAAGTGGACAGTGAAATTAAGATTTTCCAAAAGTACTGTTAAATTCTTGATGTGTGAAACTTTAACAGAGAAAATACTGAGTGCATCATGAAAGGCAAAGGAATAATACTGAAGTGTGTGTGTGTACAGAAGTACAAGGCTTTAGCGAGTATCTGCGCAGGGCCATATTATTGCCAAGTTTACTGAACATGTCAAATAAACAGGGAGTCCATGCGTCATTAATAACATTATAAGGCCCCTAGTTTTCCTCTTCGTTGGCCATTACAGTAAGAACGACTCCAATGAAACCTCACAAACCAGTGCTGTCTAACTCAAATACAACAAATCCACAAAGGAAAGACCAACATAACCATATAAAGACAAAAAAAACACAGCAAAATGACACGGGACAATTATAAACATATTCATGTATTAGTGTTTAGTGCTGGAAGACCTAAACTATATATATATATATATATATATATAGAAGCCCACAAGCTCGAGTCAAACCCGCATCAAACCCATTGAGCTGGTGAAGTCCACTCCGACACACACACACACACACTCTCTCAAAATACAACTCAAACTGAAGCTTAGAAAAGTCTCAGATTGACTCTTATTCATTGTAATGTCGCAGGGCCTTATGGGCCGATGAGACATTTCTGTTTTGTGTTTTGTACAGCTGAAGATAAAGTGTGCATTAAGTTGGCTTGTACATGTCATTATCCTACAGTATTTACACTTCTTCCCATGTTTTTACCATGAAATTTCTGTATTGTCTATATACACATCGAAAACATATCAGAAATATTTGGACTGTCTGTGTTCTTAAATGCAGTAATTTTTTTTTTTTTTTTGCATTTTGATATTTTTCCTTGTACACTAGAAAAAAATAGTTCTTCAACAAGTTGTATTTGTTGCCTTTTCTAATTGGCTGATCCAGCACCTGTCAGTCACTGGATGAGGGCGGAGCCACGATGAGCCGTCTGCTAGAGTGTAGCACCACGATCAAAGAGAGAGAGACACTGTCGCTGCTGTTATCTGGAGATCTTCCTCCTCTTGGGTTTGGGCAGCTTGACTTGACGATCCTGATGAACCTGCAGATCGACAGACAACAGCTTCACTGTATCATCCCTTCATCCAATCAAAACAAGCTCCATGATGTGTGTGTGTGTGTGTGTGAGAGAGAAACTCACAGTTCCAGACATCTTGTCCAACTCACTCATGGCCTCATGAATCGCAGCTTCTAAATGATGATTTAGTTTTCCCGCCCTGCGAGAGAGAGAGACACGAGATGCATTAATAGCGCACCTTTAAAAACAACAGACGTCAAGCCAAACTGCAGCACAATAACACAAGCGCTCAGAAAGAAACACAACATTAATGATTTGTACTATCTTAGTCTATGCATTATTGTTATTGACATTACTTTGTTGCTAGACAAGTCTGGCTCCTCTCAACATCTCAGCGCAGACAGAGTTTTTCATCGCCTGGGTGCTAAGCCCATGAACGTACCTGTTACTGTGACGTCATCCGGTGAGCGCTCGCAGAGGAGCATCAAGTGTTCCGAGGCTGAACAATAACGATCATTTTCCATCAAGTGGACATTTACGTGAGTCATTGAAACAATGTAAGTGTGCTTTGCTGCATTTAGCTAGGAGTATATTAGCTAGGAGCTTGTTTATTCACTCGAGCAGCAGATAGCAACTCACGTGTCCAAGTTCATCTGCCGTATTGTCTTCTTAATGTTTAATACTTAATTTCATAGTTTAAGTGATGTTTGTAAGTACTATATTTGAAGTATTTAATATTGTAAACTGTGTGGATTGACAGTTACACGTTGTTCTTCACATTTACCATTCGACTTAATGACGCAGTAAAATATAATGACCTTTCACCTACTTTTTCTCTGTGAGCTTCACAGGACACCTAGAGGCACTACATAGTATAATATTTAATTTCAGTACATGTTAAAGGGTCAAATGATGCGATTTCAAGTTTTCCTTTGTCTTTGGAGTGTTACAAGCTGTTTGTGCATACAGAAGATCCCTAAAGTCGCAAAGACTAAAGTCTCAAACCCAAAGAGATAGTCTTTATAAAAGTTAAGACTGGTCCACGCCTCCTAAAACGGCTCGTTCTAACACGCCCCCACATATCTACGTCACGATGTGGGAAGATTTGCATAACACCGCCCAAATGTTCAAGCAAAGAAAGAAGGAGTAACTTTGATTCTCGCTGTAGTATTGCTGCCGCCGCCGTGTCGTGAAGACGCTGTGTTTCGTTGTGAAAGAGGACACAACTAGAATTCAGTGGTTAAGTTTTATTTACAACACTGTTCCAGAACAGTACAACCCCAATATTCAAGTGTGTGCAGCACATTTTACGGAGGAAAGTTTCCTGAACCTGGCAAGGAGCGTAACATTTCCGTCACACGCTTGAGGTATTCGGCTAATCACAATGCACTGGATAGCTGGCCAATCAGAGCACACCTCGCTTTTCAGAACGATGAGTTTTGTAAAAATCGAGGCGTTTCAGAAAGGCGGGGCATAGAGGAGAAACAATAATGTACAGTATGTGGAAAATAATGTGTTTTTTGAACCTTAAACCGCATAAACACATTTCATTACACCAAATACACAACATAATGTTCTTTTTAGCAACATCATATGACCCCTTTAAATACTTAAAGAATATGATTGTAGATGATTATTTCTTGCCGATTATGATGAGTTATTGTTATTACTGTTTACTCATTGTTATCTTTGTTGTTTTCAGACCACATCTAAACAAATGTCCACTGTCTGAGACTTTTGAACAAGAAATTCCCTGACTGTGCTGTCAATTATTATCTTATTAAAGGGGTCATGTGATGCTGCTAAAAAGAACATTATGTTGTGTATTTGGTGTAATGAAATGTGTTTCTGCGGTTTAAGGTTCAAAAAACACATTTTCCACATCCTGTACATTATTGTTTCTCCTCTATGCCCCGCCTTTCTGAAAAGAGAAATGACAAACAACAAGCCCTACTCTACACTGCCCAAAACTCGCGTTTGAATCATCAGTGGCAAATCCTTTAAATATAAAAAACGTACTTACAATCTGTGAGTCAGAACAGTTGGCATTGTAGTCTACTCTCCCAGGATCAGTAAACGGTCCTCCATAAAATGTACAGCACACATCTGAATATTTGGGTTGAAGTGTTCTGGAACAGTGTTGTAAATACAACTTAACCACTGATTTCTAGTCATGTCCATTTTTGGAAGACCAAACAAAGTAGTTTTGCTTTCACAACGAAACACAGCATCACACACGGCAGCCTAGAGTGAGCGGAGGCCGGGGGCTAGAGTGAGCGGAGGCCGGGGGCTAGAGTGAGCGGAGGCCGGGGGCTAGAGTGAGCGGAGGCCGGGGGCTAGAGTGAGCGGAGGCCGGGGGCTAGAGTGAGCGGAGGCCGGGGGCTAGAGTGAGCGGAGGCCGGGGGCTAGAGTGAGCGGAGGCCGGGGGCTAGAGTGAGCGGAGGCCGGGGGCTAGAGTGAGCGGAGGCCGGGGGCTAGAGTGAGCGGAGGCCGGGGGCTAGAGTGAGCGGAGGCCGGGGGCTAGAGTGAGCGGAGGCCGGGGGCTAGAGTGAGCGGAGGCCGGGGGCTAGAGTGAGCGGAGGCCGGGGGCTAGAGTGAGCGGAGGCCGGGGGCTAGAGTGAGCGGAGGCCGGGGGCTAGAGTGAGCGGAGGCCGGGGGCTAGAGTGAGCGGAGGCCGGGGGCTAGAGTGAGCGGAGGCCGGGGGCTAGAGTGAGCGGAGGCCGGGGGCTAGAGTGAGCGGAGGCCGGGGGCTAGAGTGAGCGGAGGCCGGGGGCTAGAGTGAGCGGAGGCCGGGGGCTAGAGTGAGCGGAGGCCGGGGGCTAGAGTGAGCGGAGGCCGGGGGCTAGAGTGAGCGGAGGCCGGGGGCTAGAGTGAGCGGAGGCCGGGGGCTAGAGTGAGCGGAGGCCGGGGGCTAGAGTGAGCGGAGGCCGGGGGCTAGAGTGAGCGGAGGCCGGGGGCTAGAGTGAGCGGAGGCCGGGGGCTAGAGTGAGCGGAGGCCGGGGGCTAGAGTGAGCGGAGGCCGGGGGCTAGAGTGAGCGGAGGCCGGGGGCTAGAGTGAGCGGAGGCCGGGGGCTAGAGTGAGCGGAGGCCGGGGGCTAGAGTGAGCGGAGGCCGGGGGCTAGAGTGAGCGGAGGCCGGGGGCTAGAGTGAGCGGAGGCCGGGGGCTAGAGTGAGCGGAGGCCGGGGGCTAGAGTGAGCGGAGGCCGGGGGCTAGAGTGAGCGGAGGCCGGGGGCTAGAGTGAGCGGAGGCCGGGGGCTAGAGTGAGCGGAGGCCGGGGGCTAGAGTGAGCGGAGGCCGGGGGCTAGAGTGAGCGGAGGCCGGGGGCTAGAGTGAGCGGAGGCCGGGGGCTAGAGTGAGCGGAGGCCGGGGGCTAGAGTGAGCAGAGGCCGGAGGCTAGAGTGAGGAACGGCCGGAGGGCTAGAGTGAGCGGAGGCCTGGGGCTAGAGTGAGGAGCGGAGGCCGGGGGCTAGAGTGAGGAACGGGCGGAGGCTAGAGTGAGCAGAGGCCGGGGGCTAGAGGGAGCAGAGGCCGGGGGCTAGAGGGAGGAGAGGCCGGGGGGCGAGAGAGGGGAATCCAGCGATCCACAGCGCAAAGTTGTTGTATTTCCTCAGCAACCAGCACAGATCAGCTCCAGGCATGACGAAGCCATAGAATGAAGAAATCTGAGAGCATCTTAAAGATGAGCTTGTGCTTGATCTCAGATCAGCTCTACTGCTTGAGCGAGATGGTCTTATCGTGGTAACATCAACTTACTATTTCACTAACCCTTAAACAGCATGTGAAAACTCAGACACACCATTTAACATTCTCACTTGTAGATGTTTTTTTTTTTCCTAGAGTGAGTGTTGCACTATTTCTTCAATCGAGATAAATTTTAAATCTTTGGTTGCCCCTCCTGTTCGGCTGGTTTGAGCATCTCCTTTTAACCTTTTTTTTTGTAGATATTTTGTAGATGTTTCTTTACAATTTAGGCTTCTAGGATCGCTGATTACAGACACTTACTTCCTGTTTTTTTTGTTGGCTCTGTCCAGCACCTGAAGGTCTTGTGTTAGTGTTTTCAGCTGCTCCGGTTCCACCTAAAAAGAGTTCAAACAGCAGATCTGTTACCTCAACAGCAGAACCCAGAAAACCTACTGTCTGCTATATTTACTACTGCAGTTGAAGATTTGAAATTTGACCTAAATCTTTGATCTAAAAGCCCTCATAATCCAGACAAACACTGACAAAACCACTGAGACAAATCTCACTGAAATGTTTGGGCTGCTGCACTAGCCACTGCTTTACGGCAAAATGACATATGATGTTTCTGTATCATATTTTCACGTTGCACAATAATTGACTTTTGGGTAAGGCACCTTCAAGGGCATATAGACAGGACAAGGCAGCGTCTCTTACCCTGGCCTGTTCTGACAGTTGCATGCTGGGATTGCGCCCATGCTCTTCTCCCATCAGTTTGTTCGGCCAGGGCGGGAAGCCTTTGATCGGCCAGACCAGCTCGCTCACATTGAAGGCCCGAGGCCTGTAGTGCAGCATCTCTGCTGAAGGAGAGTCTGGGTGCCGCAGCTCCTCCTCGCTGCTGAGGCTCCTGGTGTCCGAGGGGCTGGGTGCACAGTGTCCGTTAAAGTGCCCGTTGAAGTGAGTGTAGTCTTTGAGCAGCGGCCCTTCCAAGCTGGTGGAGGATCCGGGCGACTGGTCATCTCCGGTGAGCGGCTCCCCGTATCCTCCATGAGGCAGCGCTCCATTGAGCTCTAGCCGTTCTCTGGCGCGGTGGCTAAACCGCAGGCTCGCGCTGTCGTCTGTCTGAGCGTCGGAGGCTGTCTCCTGCAGACACTCCATCACGGTTTTTCTCTCTCTTTTGCTGCTGCATGGACTGCTGTGCACCTGGGTGGAGCACTCCAGAAACTCCTCTCCTCTCCAGTGCGCGTGGTTGGGCTCGTCCCAGTGCGGGCGAGGTGTGGCGGCGCTAGGCGAGCGGAAATACGCGTGCGTGTCTGCGCCGTCAGGCGTGTTCTTGCTTTGCTCGGAGCTTCTGCGCGTGTGGTTGGGCAGCTGCATTCGGCCGGGGTCCGTCCTCTCGGATCCGCGCGGCGCGTGTATGACCGCGTTAACGGCATGAGGCAGGCTGAGCGGCGGCCCGATGGAGGCGGTGAAGGCACTCATGGCGCTGAGCGCGGGGACGGGACTGGCCTGTGTGCTCACGCCGGTAGTGATGGTCACATGCATGCCTTTGCCAGCGGCGTCCACCACCGCTCTGTAGATCGCATCCACAGACTCCACCGAACTCTGGCCTCCAGAGGCTCCCGCCATGGAAACGTCAGCCTGACCCTGCAGCTTCTGCAGAGCCTCTCGGTACAGACCTGCATCTCCAGAATGAGAGCTCATCGCAGGCTGGCCGCCGTCAGGCATGCAGCCCTGAAAACAGCAAAAACCACACAAACAAGAGTACGTCACTTAGAGCAGGCTAGCTACAGTCAAGGAAAGGACTGTTTACTGGACTGAGTGAGTCACCTGATAATCCTGGTACAGGCAAGGCAAGCTGTTGGAGTTGGGAACATTACTGTCTGTGAAAGGAGCCGTTGCAAAGGAATGCCCCTGGCCCGGATAAGCAGAGACCCCGTGCATGCCCTGCAGTGTGGGGTGATGGTGGTACATGTGCCCCGCGGCCGCCGTCACGCCGCTCATCTGAGGAGTGTTAGCGATGCTGCAGCTCAGCGATGCCGCCTCGCCTGTTAGCAACAGAAGTGTTACCAGTCACATCTCCAAATATGACCATACACAGAGGAAATAAAATATGGAAAAGAATGCAAGCAGGATGTTTAAAAAGTACAACCACAAGATGTAAAACAATATTATATTTTTAGCATAAGACTAGTGTGATTTGATTACTAATCTTGTAACTTTAAATGTCCAAATTTACGCCATGCTAGTAAAGCCACTAAAACTAAAAAAATAGCCACATGTAAACAATTGCAGATATTTCATTATATAATTACTTGAAGGCTCTTCAAAAGTGTGAAATACTTGCTCAATATCCCTCAAGATCCACTGTCCTTCAGGTGAGCTCCAAACCTGATCAAGATAATCACGAGGAAACTACAGCGGAGTTTGATCAGGCTGGACTCTGCGGGACATTGAGGGCTAGAGCTGGAACAAGTAGCTTAAGTTTATAAAATCCAGCATGTTTATTGTGAGCGTGTGTTTAGTTTGCTGAGCTGCAGATCAGTGTGTAAAATTCTGTTCTGGATGATAAACGGTGTGTGGCGGCACAATGAATGCTAACGCATGATGTGCGTTCAGTGTGTAATCAAGCTTAAACCTCACACTGAACTCATGCACATCCACTGAAATGAAACGCATGTTCGACAGCAGTCGTGTCGTGTTGCATAATGAATGCTGCGTGTCACAGAATGACGGCCACTGCGGACAGTGTGTGTGTGATCTACTGCCAGCGGCTGCTGGGGAGGTTGCCATGGAGACAGCAGTGAGATGACTGGTAGTGCTTTCCAAGGTATGATTCACTCACACACACACACACACACACACACACACACACAAATACATGACTGAACAGGTCAGGGAAGATGTGTGTACACAGGGTATAACACAGGTTTTTAACCGTGTGAGTGCAAGTGCTCTAGCAAAGAAAATAGAAACAGGCCTGAAGCAGAACATGCTAGCACTGCATCTGTGCAGCGTTAGCAAAAAAAAAAAAAAAAAAAGCAATTTACATGCATGCATTGAGGACACAACCTCTTCTTTTTTAACCTCCGTTTCTTACAGTCTAACAAATCATTGAATTTGAATTTTAAGTATGATTATGACAACGAATATTATTAAGACACATTATGGTGAGCTGACAGCAGGTAATCTGCTCTCCAATGTAATTAACTTAGATAGATTGACTTAATGACAGAGATTTGAACACTGTTTTCAAGTGACTCTCATAATGATCAAAAGATGCTGCACACATCAGCAGAACCTGCTTACAGAATACGACTCGTCACTTCAGATCAGATCAGAAGGAAGCTGGCATGTAGTGCTGTCAAACGATTAATCACGTCCAAAATAAAAGTTTTGTTTACATAATATATGTGTGTACACTCACTGTGTATATTTATTATGTATATATAAATACAAACACATGTATGTATATATTTAAGAAAAATATGTTATGTTTATATAATAAATATATTTATATATAATATAAAATATAAGAATATAAATATATATATGCATATACATGTAAATATTTATAAAAAATATATACTGTATGTGTGTGTATTTATATATACATAATAAATATACACAGCACACATAAATATATTATGTAAACAAAAACTTTTATTTTGGATGCGATTAATCGTTTGACAGCACTACTGGGATGGAACAGAAAATCCTGCTTATTGTTTATGCAAAATTAAAGAAAACATGGAAAAGGCCAGTTTTGCCTAGAGGGTTAAGCCATTTTTACCCTTGATTTAGTGCGATTATAAGAACTGACTCGTTGGTCTTACGAATTTAGCTATTTAGCAGATGATTTTATCAGTTTGAACTTATGTTATATAGCGGTGAATATAGTTTAAAAGGTGTTTGTGTGTGACTATATTCACTATATAACAGCTCCAGCAACTCACATATTCATTATAACATCATAACATATATCAATATTTAGAGTGGTAGTTAATACAAAACTGAATTTAGCAGGGCTCAATTTGAGAGTTTTTTTCCAGATCTACTGCCCTGCAAAAATGTTCAATGGCTTGTCACAAAAAAATTAAAATCAATTATTGTTTTTAAGCCATGTGAACGACTGCTTCCAAATCATTAGAAACATTCTTTTTCCTCTGGCCCTGTAATTAGAAACTGCACACCAATCAGCTAAGATCAACCTAAAACCTAAAACCTGGGCTGAGGTGGGCGATATCACCAAAATCTTACATCACCATACAGGTACTTTTATTTCAATATAATGATATTTATGTTTGAAATAAGGGTGTCATGATGCCAACATGTTAGATAGTAGTGAAATTTCATAATTCTCAATACCAATTTGGTTTAACCATCATCAAGACGCTGGATATTCTCCTCACCTCGGTCATCAGCGCCGCTGGGCAGCATGCAGGTGATGTTCGGCGGGACGCGCTGCTGAAAGTGAGCGCTCGCGTGTCCCATCACATGGCTTCCGCTGTGGTTCACGGGTCCGCAGTTTCCCATCGCTGTCGCCTGCATCTGGTTCATCATGCCTGGATACTGGCCCTGGGCTGGGAGCGCCACAGACTCCGCGCCGGGGCAGAGCATGGCCTCCGTCTGTCCCTGCAGCCGCTGCTGGACCCGTGCACTCTGAGGCCCCGCTCCGGAGACCACGGCCCCCTCGCTAAAGTGTGCGCGGCCTGGGTTTCTCATGTTTGAACTTATGTTATATAGCGGTGAATATAGTTTAAAAGGTGTTTGTGTGTGACTATATTCACTATATAACAGCTCCAGCAACTCACATATTCATTATAACATCATAACATATATCAATATTTAGAGTGGTAGTTAATACAAAACTGAATTTAGCAGGGCTCAATTTGAGAGTTTATTTCCAGATCTACTGCCCTGCAAAAATGTTCAATGGCTTGTCACAAAAAAATTAAAATCAATTATTGTTTTTAAGCCATGTGAACGACTGCTTCCAAATCATTAGAAACATTCTTTTTCCTCTGGCCCTGTAATTAGAAACTGCCACCAATCAGCTAAGATCAACCTAAAACCTAAAACCTGGGCTGAGGTGGGCGATATCACCAAAATCTTACATCACCATACAGGTACTTTTATTTCAATATAATGATATTTATGTTTGAAATAAGGGTGTCATGATGCCAACATGTTAGATAGTAGTGAAATTTCATAATTCTCAATACCAATTTGGTTTAACCATCATCAAGACGCTGGATATTCTCCTCACCTCGGTCATCAGCGCCGCTGGGCAGCATGCAGGTGATGTTCGGCGGGACGCGCTGCTGAAAGTGAGCGCTCGCGTGTCCCATCACATGGCTTCCGCTGTGGTTCACGGGTCCGCAGTTTCCCATCGCTGTCGCCTGCATCTGGTTCATCATGCCTGGATACTGGCCCTGGGCTGGGAGCGCCACAGACTCCGCGCCGGGGCAGAGCATGGCCTCCGTCTGTCCCTGCAGCCGCTGCTGGACCCGTGCACTCTGAGGCCCCGCTCCGGAGACCATGGCCCCCTCGCTAAAGTGTGCGCGGCCTGGGTTTCTCATGTGGGAACTGTGGTTGCTCAGAGACTGGAGTAGCTGGGCCATTGACGTGTTGGAGGGCAGTCGAGAGGTTTTTCTCATAAGCTCAGTGGAAGGACAGGGTGTCCTCATGTTGAAGAAGCTGTTCTCGTGGTTGGCAGCGTTTGGAGGAAGCTTGCGCTTGCGGAGAGGGTCGCGCTGCTGCGCCATGAGCTTGTCCCGAAGCGCCGCGCGTCCGCTCTGGCCCTCGCGGCTGGGCATCATCATGGAAGGGTTGGGTGGCAACATGGGATTTAGAGTGTTGTGGCCTTCGACAGCCCTGCTAGCATCAGACGTCCCTGCACTCGACACACCTCCCATGAGCTTGTTTTGATTTGCTAGCTGTGCTTTGGCGGCCGCTGAGAGGAGACTGCTGGCAGGGAAAGAGGCAGCGTTGTGTTGTTTAAGGATCTGGTTCAGTGGCATTCCCAAAAGGCCCGGGTGCTCCTTCTGCGGGGCGTGCGGATACATGGGGTTGTGCTGAGCACTCATCCCGGCCAGCAGCTGGCTGGGCACGTCTTTGTACTGGTGGAGAGCATCCGGTTTGCTAGACGGGCTGGAGGGCAGAGCAGGCCGGGGCGAGCTCATGGAGGACCTGGGCGAGCGCGGCGGGACCTTCATACTGCTACAGGGGGGAACAGCGAAGGTTCCCTGCTCCGAGGAGGTGGAGGAGGAGCGGGAGCGCTGCGGAGACGCCTCCATGCGGCCCAAGACCGGCCCGGACATGTGCACGGGAGAGGTGACGGGCGACGGGGAGACAGAGGCGGTGTGCTGAGTCCTCTGCATGTGACCCACCGGCCCCGGCTTCACCGAGGGCAGAGGCAGGTTACTCGGCAGCGGGACGATGGCGGGGGGGATGTTTACATTCATCATTGGTACCTGAGAGTGGACGCTGGGCTGGAAAGCGGAAGGGTTGGGTTTACTGGGAATCGGATCCAGGATGCCGAGAGGGTCCTTCTCGGAGCTCAGCTGCTTGCTCTGCAGGGCACAGGCGGGAGCAGACGGGGCCTTGTGATGAAACACAGTCCTGCTGGAGTCCATGCCCGGCGGGTAGCTGCACAGGGGCTTCTTCATGATCGGGCTCTTGTTGGGGGCCGGAGGGGACAGAGGCATGTTAGTCCTTCCAGCCATGATGCAGGACGACTGGGCAGCGGGCGAGCCATGCATCATGACTCCAGGAGAAGACAAAGGGATGCGGCGGCTGCTGCTGTGCATGGCCCCGGGACTGCCGGTCCCCTGGAAGCCGCAGGGGGTGTTGCGCACAAACCCATCAGGACTGCCGAGAGCGTCTGTTCGTGGGGACAGAGAGCCGTCCCCGAAGGTTTGCGAGGGAGGGCTCAGCATGTGCACGCTGCGGTAGGGGGACTTGGGCCCCGGCTCTCTGCTGGCCAGCCTCTGCCGGGAATACACAGGGAAAACCTCCTGCTGCTGTGAGCCGCACGGATCCGGAGAGAAGTGCCGCTGCCCCGCCGCCATCATCGCCTTGAACGGGTTCTTACATTCGGGCTGGCCCTCGTGGGTTTTATTCCTTATTGCTCGAGGCTGTGCGTTACGGGTCACAGACGTCACACCTACAAGAAGAGCGAGAGCCGCTGTCAGTCATTTCAGGTGCAGAATGGGATGCGAATGCTCAGGGTTTCCTAGCGAGGGTATTTATGAGCCGCTAGGGGTTTTCTGCTAGAACTGCAGTGAGTTCCTGAGATTGTCATTAGTTATGATATTTGCCATTAAAGGTAATATTGTGACATTCATTATATTTATCAATAGGTTAGCATTACTTAATTAACAACAAAGGAACCCCTGCAACAATGCACAGTAAAATTAATCAAATAATGAGAAAAAACATTCACAAGTTTAAAAAGAGGGAAATATCAAAGATTCATCACTTCTCCATAAATGTTCTTATCAATTTCACACAAAAGCGAAGCAATCCTTCGCTAGAGTAATCCTCTGTTGTCATACGTGTGCCTCCGCCGGGGCTGGTGAGCGTCAGGGACGGACGCGGCAGCTCCATGCTCTTATGCAGCGTCGCCACAGCGATCAGCTTTCTCTTGTGGATGCAGAGCTTCGTAACATCCTCATCGCTCTTCACATCCTCCGCAGTCCTCTGCTTCACCACCGCACCAGGATCAAAATTGAAAACCTGAGAAAACAGACATTTCAGACCAAGACTTGAGTGTCGGCATGAAGTCACAGTTAGTTTTGTTTATTTGATGTGACATTTAGGCAGGGGCGGACTTAAGCAAATTTCAGGTATGGGGCCCTAACACAATAACTGTGTCCTTTTAACAAAGAGCGCTCGCTCTATAATCACTAAAAGCTCTATTCACTTCAGTTTATCACGATCTCACGACATTCCGTTAATCAGTGAAGCTTTCCACACTGCACAATCAATCTCTTATTTACATCGTATCTACACGTCGTTATAAAGAGAGGATTCGCGAGCTTGCAGAACTCAGCACTGGACAAAAACTGAGTGAGTGAGTGAACATTTGACGCTCTCCAGAACACAAATATGTTTCGCCAATATCAGATGGGGCCCCCGGATTCCCCCAGGGCCCTAAGCGGCTGCTTACCTTGATTATTTGTTATGTCCGCCCCTGCATTTAGGTGCGAGTAAATCTCAGTCAATGGCACCACACTGATTACAGGAAGTTAACCTCACATCCAAACAGTTAGGGGTGGGCGATATGAGCTAAAATTCATATCACGATATTTTACACTGTCCAGGTGATAGATATTATATTGCGATATGAGAAAAAAAAATTACAGGTAAAATATTTTAACCTTGTATAACTAGAAAAAGTGAGGGATTGGACATAAACCTGAAAATACTTTTTTTATTGTGCCATTGTTTTTCTCAAAAAGTGCAAACGTGCAACATGAGGTAGGCCTGTATGAATTAATTTAAATTAAATATTGTGTGTTTGAGTTGGCCGGTGGTTCCCAAACTTTTTCTGCCGGGCCCCCATTTTGTAGAGAACAATATTATCAAGGCCCCCCACCCCTCCCCTTTTTTTTTTTTGGAAAGTCTCTTCTACTCACGAAGACAACATTTATTTATTAAAAATACAGTAAACACTGTAATATTCTGAAATATTGTAAATTTTAATGATCTATTTGAATGTTTTAACATATAGGCTACTGTATTTCTGTGATGCGCAGCTGTATTTTCAGCATCATTCCTCCAGTCTTCAGTGTCACATGATCTTCAGAAATCAGTATAATATGCTGATCTGCTGCTCAAGAAACATTTCTGATTATCATCAATGTTGAAAACAGTTGTGCTGCTGAATATTTTTGAGGAAACAATTTTTTCACTATTCTCTTTGAATTTGATTTGAAATTGTTCTTTGTGTCAGAGCGCTGGAGTTGGTCAGAAATAGAACGGGCATCAGGTTACTGTCATGGGTTTGTCGCGTCGCGCCGCATGCACAGCAGAACATCACTGGGCTCTATTTGCTTTTGTCTCATCGCGCCGCTCGCGTCTGCTGTAGACACCTTGTTTTGGTATTTGTGAATCTTAAGTATATTCATCATCTGCTTTACGTTTATCTGGCGCTGGAAGCCCTTTCACAAACTGGTAACTTTCATGCTTGGAGCAGAACCATGCATCGTTCATTTATATTTCTACATGGCTCCCTGCAATACAACTCTGATTCTTCAATCACGCCATTATTGATACAACCACAACTGCTACAACTGATAACGGAGCACTCAAGCGAGTACTGCCAGTCATGTTGAGGTCATTAAAATATGTCAAATTAATATTTTGCGCTCAATTATTTACTTATCAGACAAATGGCCGCATGATAAGCTGGAAAATTACGCAGTGGAGTCTTTATCACCCTGCAGAGGTTTCTTTTGCAAAATAATCTGCTGACTGTACACGATCCCTCAGTTTGGGAACCACTGGAGCAGGAGATTTGTGCTCTATTAATTTGGTCTGTTACGATGCTGTGTTTGATTACTAATGCCTGTGTAGTACAGCGTTGCACACAAAGGATAAAAACGTTAAGCCTCGACTCTTTATCTCATTTGTGTTAAAATTTGCAAAGCTTACCAAATTGAACAAAACTACATAAATGCAAAATTTGAATTCATGAATATATAACGGTATCCACGGTATAGCAAGATCCATATCATGGAACAACATAATACCGGTAGTCACTTTCATACTCAAAAAAACTGTCAAAATGCATTGCAGAATAAAAAAACAGAATAAAACACAGCAAACGCACACAGAGGAAATCAATCCGTAGGCGGATATAACAACACTTTCAGCCTGAACAGCCCCATGTTTTCATGATACAGCACTAGCTGAAGTTTCTGCTACCTTTCAAAAAATTAAAATAAAAAAAAGACTTGTGCTTTATTTTGATGGCACTCTTTTTGTTCTCTGTGTTTCTTAAGTATCTGATTTTTTTAATGACTAAAGTCGTAATGGTTCATTAAGAGAACATCTGAATGAATTGAACTGAATTACACAATTACTACAATTCAGGCAATTCAGATTCAAAAGAGTGATTCGTTGCCATCGCTCGTTCTGATTTTAAACAGACGACAAAAATGCATATTGAAATTTTCTCATGTACAATGCTGTGTTTTAGTTCAGTTGGAGCACATGTGATATGTGACGGTTATAATCGAACAGCTGCAGGCTCCTCTGAACGAACACAAGTAGAGGAAAGATCTCACAATAAAATACAGCACAGTGATTTATCATCAATGACGATGTACAGTGTGGCTTTAGGAAAGATGTCCAGATTGTGTGAAATGGGCAGCATTACGTCGGAGTACTGACCTTGTGGAGGACGAGAGGACACTCCAGACCACACTTACACGTGCCATCGGTCAGCAGGTACGACTTCAGCTGCTCGAGGCAGGACAGCACTGATCCACTCGGACTAAACACACACACCAAATGATCACAATTACAGTAAAATAATGTTAGACACTTTCTACACATAAATGCTGTGTATGCAGAACTACGTGAAATGACATGCTGCCCACCGGAACCCTCCAGAAGAGGTTCGTTCGCTTTGGGCAGGTAACTTATCAGGATCAGAACCAACACAATGAACATCTGATGTTGATCTAGAATGCATTTTTTCTCCCTACTTTTTTGCAGTGGCTCAGATTAAGCCATCGATATGAGAACAGGACCAAATCACGACGCGTCTTAGCGTTTTTGTGTCAGCTGCAGTTTCACCGAACCTCATAAATGATGCTGTCGCATCGACGAAAATATATTTTTAATACAAATAATGCAAAATAGTGATTCACGGCTGTTAGGAAATGTTTATGGATGGTTAATTTCGGCAGGAATGAATGTGGACCCTGGCGATGCATGTTCAGACAGAGCAGGTCCATACCTGATATACAGGACCCCCGAGGCCTCCACCTTGCGCTGCCAGCCGATGGGCACCTGGGCGAGCTGACCTCTGCCCTCAGCACCCTCCCTCTCTTTTCCTCCATTCATTTTTCTGGATCAGTGCAAAACTGCTGGTCAGAGATCACACGCTCTTCTCTGTCCCGACACAATGTCTCATTCTGACGCTCAGAAGAGAGAAGACGAGCACAACAGGACCGCAGCGAGACGCTCACAGCGCAGCCCAGAGGAAGGGCCGCATTACTTTGCCACTCGATGCAGACAGGAACTCCGCCGCTAGTGTCTGAGCAATCAAAGCCATGAGAAAAGAGTCTGAAAGCGCTTCTGATCTGGACATAAAAGCACCTCAAATAAACACATGGAAAGAGTTGCAGCTCCCAGCAGGCCGAGGGTCAGGCGTGGCGTTCACAGCAGACAGCGCACCTCACGATCTGCAGACGCACTGCTCATCATGGACCGTTCAGATGCAGCTCTCGCAAACTCATGGTTCCTAAAGAGAGAAAGAGAATATTATAATCTGACCACTTCTGGAAATACGGGAGTCGAGATCGGAGCTTTCGTCCACAAACGCCTCGAGTCATCAGTCTCCTGATTCTTTACAGTCGCTCTGACGCAAACACGTCTCATTCACAGCAAACCCTTATTATACAAAAACTAC